CAGCGAGACATGGAAACTGAAGTCAAGAAACCGTCTGTGTCAGGCACAGTATGACACATCCAGGGCCGGGGTCCAGGCTTGTCTGAGTCACACAGCCTCCTAGCGGTGGGGCAGGGACCCCGAACTGTGGCTCCCCATCTCACAGGAGCACCCAGCCACCCCGCTGCACCTCTGACTTCTAGAGTGGGGAATCAGAGACAGGGTCACACAGTAAAGCTACCAGGCAGCAGAATTAGGCAGCAGGTCCTTGTCTCTGCTTCTGGGGAGGCTGAGGCAGGTGGATTTCAAGCTCAAAGCCAATCTGGGAGATTTAGTGAGGTCCTGTCTCAAATTAAAAACTAAAAAGCACTGGGGATTCAGCTCACTCGTAAAGTACTTGCCTGGCATGCACGAGGCTTCAGAATGAAAGAAAAAGAGAGAGAGAAGAAAGGGAGGGAGGGAGAGCGAGGGAGGGAAAGAGGAGACAGAAGGAGGAGAGAAATACAGAAAGAAAGAGAGAAAGAAAGAAAGAAACCTTTGATATTCAGTCCTCAGCTAAAAGACACCCTTCACTTCTTCAGCATGTGTGAATGCATGTTTGTGTGAGAGAGACAGGAGCAGACAGACGTCCATCTGTGTGTACACGCATGCATGTGTGTGGTGTCGTGTTCACACGTGCACCTGCTGGTACACTCATCCTGCAGGCGCTGCCTTGGCCTGGCATCTCACACACTCCCTCTGGGCCACATGAGCAAATCCCTTTATATCACGCTTTTTGTCTTTTGGGCCCCAAATTGTGCCTAGGAAGTCTCTCAGGCATGTGGCAGTTTTTGTTCCTGGAAAAGGTGCCCAGAGAAACCAGCCAAGGGGTTGGGCATTTAGCTCAGTGTGAGGTCCTGAGTTTGATTCCCGGTACCCCCTCAAGAATCCAGCAGTGCCCAAGATCCTCCTTAGCCAACCTGGGCGCCAGGGCAAGTGGCTGTCCGGGACTCCAGCGCGGGTCCAGACTCGCGCACCAGCGGGGCTTTCCAGCGACCTCCCTGCACCTCAGGCGCTGCACCACGTGTCTGGACAAGGCCCGGTGTGAGGGACATCAGCCCTGTGATTCTGCTGTCACACTGTGGCCGTGTGATGGGCCCACGTGACTGTGGAGTGCCCTGAGGTGGGGGGGCGGGCGTGAGGGCGCACAGCGCCGAGGTGAAAGTCCAATGCCGGGGACGCCAACCGTCCCCTCTGCCAGGGCACCTGGTTGGTGACTGCGCCCCCCTGGCCATCCCCGCAGACCATTACTGGGACTTCCACCCCCACCACGTGCACAGCGAGTTCGAGGCCTTCCCCGAGAACCACTTCACCGAGCTGCAGAGCGTGCAGCCCCCGCAGCTGCAGCAGCTCTACCGCCACATGGAGCTGGAGCAGATGAACGTCCTCGAAGCCCCCATGGTGCCGCCCCACGCCAGCCTCAGCCACCAGGTGCGTGCGCTGCCGCCGGCCCGCGCCCCTCAGGAAGCTGGCACAGCGCCACCCCAGCGTGGCTTCCTGCCCCGCGTCGCCCCGGGCGGACCTCGTGGCCCCGCACCCCTTATCTCGCCCAATGATCCCCAGGCTTCCCCTGTCTGGACCCCCGGGCTGCTGCGGAGCGCCTGAGTCACTCACCCCTGACCCCTACTGGCCCTGCCCACGCCCCACTGACCCAGTCCCAGCGACCCTGACCCCAATGCGAGACCTCTGTGACCCACTGACCTCCACCCCCCCACTCGTCACCCCCACTCCCGTCCCAACCCACTGCCCCTCCCCCTCCCCCTTGTCCCCCTCTGCAGCTGGGAAGGTGTCAGCAGGCCCGGGTGTCAGCACCCTGCCCGAGATGGCTCCGCGGGGCCCCCGGAGACTTCCATCTCCCCAGCTTCCCACCCTGCCGCCCCCAGCAGACCCCTGGCGGCCAGCGTCGCTCACCGCCTCGGCCCCTCCCGCCTTCCCAGGGCCCCTACGTGACCCGGATGTGCGTCCCGTACCCATCCCTGTCCCCAGCTCAGCCCAGCTCAGATGAGGAGGAGGGCGAGCGGCACAGCCCCCCGCTGGAGGTGTCGGACGGCGAGGCCGACGGCCTGGAGCCTGGGCCCGGCCTCCTGCACGGGGAACCAGGTACTCGTCCCGGCGGCCGGGCCCGCGCGCCCCCTCCCGTGGGGGCGTCCGTGAGCGCCTCTGCCGGGCCTTGCGCGGCGTGTGCTGGCTGCAACGCGTGTCCGCAGGCGCCTGAGGCCTCGGCCTGGGCGTGTGCGCGGGTGTGTGCAAGAAGGCGTGAGTGTGCATGTGCGTGTGCATGGCGTGTGCGCACGTGTCTCGGGCGAGGAGTAGCTCCCCGCACACCCTCCAGCCCTGGACCCCCAGGGGATCCCCCAGAGGGCGCTCTGGTCCCTCCCAGCCCCCTGGAGATGAGGGTCTCCATGGCCCCCGGCCGCTCGAGTTGGGAACCTCCCCAGAGGTGAGGATCCCCGGCCCCTTCCAGCCCCCTGAAAGTGCGGACCCGCAGGCGAGCGGCCCCCGGAGGTGCGGGTCCCCCCGGAGGTGCGGAGCCCCCGGGGGCGCACGTCTCCATCCCTCCCGTCCCCCGCCGCCCGCCCCACCGCCGTGTCCCGCAGGCAGCAAGAAGAAGATCCGCCTGTACCAGTTCCTGCTGGACCTGCTGCGCAGCGGCGACATGAAGGACAGCATCTGGTGGGTGGACAAGGACAAGGGCACCTTCCAGTTCTCGTCGAAGCACAAGGAGGCGCTGGCGCACCGCTGGGGCATCCAGAAGGGCAACCGCAAGAAGATGACCTACCAGAAGATGGCGCGTGCGCTGCGCAACTACGGCAAGACGGGCGAGGTGCGCAAGGTGAAGAAGAAGCTCACCTACCAGTTCAGCGGCGAGGTGCTGGGCCGCGCGCCCGCGCCCGGCCGCCTGGCGCCGCGCTGAGCGCCGCCGCCCGCCGGACTCGCCCGCTCTGTACAGCGCCCGCCCGCCCCGTCCGCCCCCGAGTAAAGTTATTCTCGGCCGCGCCCCTGCGGCCCGGTCATCCAGTGTGTGCGCCTCGTGCGGCCGTGTGCGGCGACCTCGTGCCCCCGTCCGTTCTCCGGTGTTACCCAAAGCCGGACACAGGCCACAGGGGGTCTGCCCGGTGGGGACTGGTCCTCCGGGTGATTGCGGAGGGGGGCTGGGTCCTGTGGAAAGGGCCTTGGAGCATGGTGGCGCACGCCTGTCATCCCAGCACTCAGAAGGCTGAGGCAGGAGGATTGCTGCGAGTCTGAGGCCAGCCTGGGCTACACAGTGAGACCCTGTCTCAGAAAACAAAAATATAAAAAAATAAAAAGAAAGAGAGAAAGGCCCTCGGCACCCCGATCAGTGACGCTTAAACTCTCAGTGTTAGATGTGACCCAGTAATGATGGCGAGGTTGGTGAAGACAGCAGTGACCCCAGGTTTTCTGGTCATTTCTCACCAGGCAGCCTTGAGATGAGGAGTCTCACACCAGGACAGTCTGTGAGCTGCCCCGGGCCACACAGGGGGCAGTGGCCAAGTTTCCCACATGTGGAACAGGCTGGGTCTCGGCCCACCCAGGAGTAGGAGCCACACCCCAAGGCTCAGAAGGGTCCCGAAGGGCCCCAGAGGGGCCGCTATTCCGGGCCCAGACCACCCTGAGCAGTTGGCAGCGCTGAGCAGAGAAACCTGTCAGCTTCCCCCAGGTAGCAAGAGGCAACTGCAAAGTCGGTGCAGCAGCACAGCCCTGTAATCCCACCACGGGGTAGACTGAGGCAGGAGGACCCCAAGTGGAGCCCAGCCTGGGCGACATAACAGGTTAGTGAGATCCTGACTCCAAATGAAAAATAAAGAAGGGCTGGGAAAGCAGCTCAGGGCAAAGGCCCTGGGTTCGATCTCCAATACGGAAAAAAAAAAAGAGAGTTTGTGAGAGCGAAACGGTGCTCAGTGTCTTGTTTCAAAGTGTGGTGACAAGTCCAAGGGATGGAAATGGTGGGTCGTAGTGTTTAAAAGGATGGCAAGTGTTTGTCATCTGGAAAATGCTTGTGTCCCTCTGAGGACGGAGACACATGACCCCGGGGTGGGGCAGCCTCCAGGTAATTTCCTTCTGCGGAGCAACCAGTGGCTGTGCTGGGGCAGAGAGGACGGGCCCAGACACTGCACAGGAGCGGCAGAGGACACACGGCGGGGGCCGGGATGAGAGAGCAGAACGCTGGGCGTTAATTACTGGCTGACCCTGGTGGCTCTGTTTCCGCTCCTGCCTCCGGGTGTGTTTAGAGACGTACCTCACCCTCACCTGCAGGCCCACCTGGTCCCCCAACTCTGTGACACCGCCCCCAGCACTGCTGCCTGCCCCCCTCCCAGCCAGGACCCCAGTGTGGGCAGACATGGGCTCCCTAAGTGCCCGGCAGTGCCCAAAGGTGCTCATTTAGTTTTTTAAGAATTTATTTATTGCAGCGCTAGGGATTGAATCCAAGGCCTTCACGCTGAGCTACATCCTTTGCCCCTTTTAACATTTTGAGACAGGGTCTGTCTAAGGCACTAAATTCCCCAGGCCGGGCTCAAATTTGTGATCCTCCTGCCTCGGCCTCCCAGAGTGCTGGGATTACAAGCCTGTACCCGCACGCCCCGCAGGGCTTTTGTTTGCAGAGCTCCCTCATGCGTGTGACAGTCCTGTGCCAGGGGTGCTGCTATCCCCAGGTGCCGCAGGGCTCAGGAACGGTGGCACCAGGACTTGGGGGCAATGCCATCACACAGCAAGGGTGCCCTTGACCGGTCAGCTCCCTCCGGGCCAGCACGCTCCCGGGACATCAGATGGACACAGGGCCAGGGCTGGGGCACCCTGAGATCTGCCATGGCCTGCTGTCCCGGGGGTGGGGACATGGGGCAGGAACCAGTCAGGGACGAGGTGGCCCTACCTTCCCCCAAGAGCCCACAGCTCTCGGAATCTGCCTATATTTAGCAGGTGGCCGGGCAGGAGGCAGATAAGCCCCGCTGGGGAGGGGAGGTCACCATAAATAGTGCCGGGCACAGGACCCTCAGTCCCTCCTCGGTGGCTGTGCCTGCTCTGCACCTGCTGTGACTTCGCTCAAGATGCCCGAGCCAGCGAGGAAGCCAGGTAGTTCTAGACGAGCCTGGTCAGAGTTTGGCCTCGAGGGCTGCACCACTGGGGAGGAGCAAAGGGGGACCCTGAGGGGACCCGGAGCTCAGGCAGGAGGGAGCGGGTGGTCCTGCCGGGTCTGTTCTCCAGACTACGTTTCTCTCCCCATCCCTCTGGGGACCTGAGGGTGGACAGGTGGGTGGCAGAGACCCCAGGAGGGGACAGCGCCAAGGCAGGAAGTGCCAGGGGCCACCACCCTTTTCTCAGAACGTGGGGTACCCACCCTGCCCCCACCCCTTCCTCTGCAGTGAGGAAGAGCCCAAGCACAGCAGACTCAGCTGGCCTCGTCCAAGGCCCTGGCTCGGGGGCTCGAGCTCTCTCCAGGTTCTGTTCCCTTTTTTTCCTCTGGTTTTCCTTTTTTTTTTTTTGTACCAGGAATCGAACTCAGGACCTTGCACTTGCCAGGCAAGTGCTGTGCTGCTGAGCTATATCCCTAGCCCCTTCTTTTCTGTTTTTTGAGATGGGGCTCACTATGGAGTCCAAGCAGGCCTCACATTCTTGGTGATCCTCCTGCCTCAGCCTCCTGAGTGCTGGGATCACAGTGGTGGCCACCACACCTGGCTTGATTTTCCCATCTCTGTGGGGAGCGCTTGGGTGGAGCAGGGTTCTTCCAGCTGTGCCCGTGTCGGCCTCCTGAATCTGCACCCCTGGGCGCCCACACCAGGGGTACTCAGGGAGAGAACAGAGAAAGCCCCAGCCCCGCCTGGCCCTGTGTCCTTGCACGGTCGTGGGGCAACGACCCAGCCCAGCCCCTCCCAGGCCGGCCTTATCAGCAGCCACGGCCCCGGGACAGATTTAACCACATTCCAAGCATGCAGGGCACCCGTGCCTGCTGAGGGCCCCTGGAGGTGGGGTGGAGGTGGGGCTCCCCACAGGGGTCCTGGGCAGGGGGGGTGGGGCCCAGGGACACCAGCAGCGCCCACTCTCCTGCTATTGCTGTCCTTGTGGGAGAAGGAACACATCACGGTTCTGGCATTGGGGGAGAGCAATTGAGGTGAAGCAGAAACATGGTTAGGTATGCTTAACAAGAAATGCGTGCCTGTGACCCCAGCACGTGGGAGGCTGAGGCAGGAGGATCTCTTGAACAAACGGCGAGACGTGTCTCAAAACAAAACAACCAAAAAAACCAAAACAATCCAAAAACGAAAAAAGAAAAAAAGAGGGCTGCAGGAGTGGGTGCGCAGGTGAACCAGGGACCTGCAGCCTCCACTGTGTGGCCCTTCAGTCTCGGCCTTCAGCAAGAAGCCGCGGTCAGCAGAGGTGGCTGAGGGCAGCCCGGCCATCTTCGAGGCAGAGACTGAGCGCCCCGGGGTGAAGGTGCGTTGGCAGCGGGATGGCAGTGACATCAGCGCCAGTGACAAGTACGGCCTGGCTTGTGAGGGCCGGCGGCACACGCTGACGGTGCGGGACGTGGGCCCCACCGACCAGGGCTCCTATGCGGTCATCGCGGGCTCCTCCAAGGTCAAGTTTGACCTCAAGGTCACAGAGGCAGGTGAGGGCGTGGGCAGTCGCTCCTGTGGGTTTTGTGATTTTTTCTGAGACAAGGTCTCACTGTGTAGCCCAGGCTGACCTCGAACTCGCTGCACTCCTCCTGCCTCAGCCTCCTGAGGGCTGGGATCACAGGCGTGAGCCTCCACACCCTGCTTTCCTGTGGTTTGAGCTCTGAGCTGGGCCGCCCAGGCCCCTCTTCATCCCTTCCCCGGGAACAGGGGTCCTGTGTGGGCCTGGGCTCTGTCCTGCGTGTGTCAGACCCCCGTGTCTGCCATCGTGGGTGGGAAGACAGATGATGAGCGTGACCCACTCTCCCATGGGGACCAGGTCACAGCCCCACGCAGCAGCCTGCGCTAGGGGGCCCAGAGTGTGGGAGGAGGGGCAGCCAGCTGGGGAGGGGTGGGGGGCCTCAGAGCTGCATGGGGCAGACAGGGACAGGGTGGGGACAGGTGACAGCAGGACAGGGACCCAGGACCAGGGACATGACCACGGGGGACCTGGGGGTGGGCTCGGGGGCCTGGTGCCTGGGATCCGGGTTTCTGCTCAGAGCCTGTACCTCGACCTCCTTGGCCCCTTAGAGAAGGCAGAGGAGACCCCTGCTCCTGCCCCTGCTGAGGCCCCTGGAGCCCCAGCTGCACCTTCCGAGCCAGAAGGCGGCGCCCCAGGCCCTGAAAGGGAGCAGGCTGGGCAGGCTGGGCTGGGTCAGGCACCCCCAGGCCCAAGCCCGGCCGCCCCCGATGACCCCATCGGGCTCTTCCTGACGCGGCCGCAGGACGGCGAGGTGACAGTGGGTGAGTGTGGGCTGCAGCACCCAGCCGTGGGGCGGGAGATGGCAGGGCGCGGGGGCCCAGCTGGTCACCCCTCCCGCCTGCAGGTGGCAGCATCACCTTCTCAGCCCGCGTGGCTGGGGCCAGCCTGCTGAAGCCGCCCACCGTCAAGTGGTTCAAGGGCAAGTGGGTGGACCTGAGCAGTAAGGCGGGTCAGCACCTGCAGCTCCGAGACAGCTACGACCGGGCCAGCAAGGTGGGGCTCGAGGGATTGGACACTAGTGAGGGGGGGACACATGAACAGGTCTCTAGCGGGGCAGGGCCAACACGATCAGCTGTGCAGGCTGTGCACTGCACAAAACAGGATCCTCGAAGCCCACGTCATTTGCCCTGTGGCCACCCAGATTTGTGCTTTTTCCAGCCCTGTGCCAGCAGGTGGCAGTCGTGGGTCTGGAGAGGGGACCCCTTTACTAATGTTAACTAAAGCCCTGGGTGAGAAGCTTGGCGGGCACTAGCAGATCTCAGGCTCACCCCGGGTCTCACCTCCACCTCCCCCCAGGTCTACCTGTTTGAGCTGATCATCACTGACGCACAGGTGTCCTCCGCTGGTGGCCACCGCTGTGAGGTGTCCACCAAGGACAAATTTGACAGCTGCAACTTCAACCTGACTGTCCACGGTGAGGCCCTGGCTCTGTTCTGGTCCCCACACAACGCTCTGTCTCCCAGGGCTGAGGGGACGCCTGGGCCTGGGGACACCCATGCAGGGCATAAAGTGCTTGAGGATCTGGAGGACCCTGCTTTAGGGGCCTTCAGCCTTGTGGGTGCCCAGGGCCAGGAAGGGTCCCCAGTGCCCCCTCACATCCCGTTTGTCTGCAGAGGCCGTCGGGCCTGGGGACCTGGACCTCCGATCTGCTTTCCGCCGCACGTGAGTGACCACAGGGAGGCCGGGGCTGGGAGCTCGCGGGGGGCAGGGCTGAGGTCCATGGGGTGAGGACACCGTATGACCCCGCAGGAGCGTGGCCGGAGGATCTCGGCGTACCAGGTACACCTGCCCTGGCCCCAGGCACCCCACACACAGCCCGGGGAGCCCGTGCGGCCACTGTCCCCTCATCGCACCCCCTTCGTCCCTTCTGGGCTGACCGTGCGGCCTCACCGGGCCCTCTCCACAGCGACAGCCATGAGGACGCGGGGACGCTGGACTTCAGCTCGCTGCTGAAGAAGAGGTGAGTGTCGGGTGGTGTCTCCGACCCTGGGTGGTCAGAGGACAGGGAGGGAGGCGCCGTTCGGATCCCCAGCCAGGTGGCCCCGGGAGTCCCTGCACTTCTGCGAGCCCAGCGGGGGCCCTGGGGTGTGGGAAGCTCCCGGAAGAGCCAAGGGGGTGTCGGGCGCCCTCCTGACCTGTGCTTCTGCCCCCCTCTCCCCCGACCCCTTGTCACCCACCGTGGACGCTGCCTGCACCAGAGAGTAAGGACAGACTCCGTGCCGGGTCTGCCGGGCTGGGTGAGGCCAGGCTGCGGCTGCCCACTGGTGGGGAGTCGCCGAGCTGGGGTGCCCCTCACACCCCCACACCCCGAGGGTGCTTAGGAGGCATATGCAAGTCACCCACAGGTCCTGCCTGGTGCCTCCGGTGCCGCGTGGGCACCCCTTAAATGTAGGGGTGCAAGTGTGGGGAGGAGGGAAGAGGGGGAGGCCCATGAGGGGTCCCCAGGTTTGGGGCAGCAGTGCCCAGACCTCTAATTGTCCGCTGTCCCCTCTGTCCCGGAGCAGCAGTTTCCGGACCCCGCGGTGAGTACCAGCCTCCCCCGCCTGCCCCAGCCCCGAGAGCCCCCGGAGGGAGGGGGTGGTGGGCTTTGCAGCCCGGCCGGGTGGCCCTGAGCCTGCGTGCGTGGCCCGGGGCACAGGGACTCCAAGCTGGAGGCGCCGGCCGAGGAGGACGTGTGGGAGATGCTGCGGCAGGCGCCGCCGTCCGAGTACGAGCGCATCGCCTTCCAGCACGGCATCACCGACCTGCGCGGCATGCTCAAGCGGCTGCGCGGGCTGAGGCGGGACGACCGCAAGAGCACAGGTCAGCCAGGGCCGGCCGCGGCCACGGGCAGAGGGCCGGGACCGGGCGTGCTCCGCTCCCCACCCGCACCCGGGGAGAGGGCAGGGCGTGATGTTTTCTGTTTGCAAAGGAGGAAGCCGAGGCACAGGCGCGGGGCTGTCAGTGGAGGAGCCAGGCCAAGCCCGCGGGGCAGCAGGCGGGTCTCTGCCCCTCCAGAGTGGGCTCGGCGCTGGCCAGGCGCGGGGGGACTCGGGGTTCTCCCTGGGCCCTGCCTGCCGCGTGGTGCCGGCTTCCCCACAGCTCCGCCGCACCAGCAGTGGGTGGTGGCCTCACACTGTCCCCGCCATGGGCCTCCCCGGCCTGCGTGCCCCTGCGGGGGGCCCCAGAGGCCCTGGCGGGTGCTGTGCAGAGAGGGTGTCGGGGTAGGATCAGCACTGGGGCTGTCCGTACGACAGTCACACAGGAGAGGGGCACAGCGGCCGGAGTCCCCGGAAACCGCGGGGCTGGGGGGCCAGGGGTGCCGGTCGCAGCCACAGCGGCCGAGCCGCGTGCGGGCGGCCGGGACTGAGGCGGCGCTCAGCCTTTCAGAGCAAGCTGGAGCCGGCCTACCAGGTGAGCAAGGGCCACAAGGTCCGGCTGAGCGTGGAGCTGGCCGACCCGGACGCCGAGGTCAAGTGGCTCAAGAACGGCCAGGAGATCCAGATGAGCGGCAGGTGAGGGCCGGGGCGCGGTCCACTCCTGCCCCGCCCGCCCCTCGCTGTCTTTCCCGGGGCTCCAAGCCCCATTTTAAACTGGGCCTCGTCACCTCAGCACCTGAGAGGCTGAGGCAGAAGGGTTGCTGTGAGTTCAAGGCCAGCCTGGATTATATAGCAAGACCACTTCAGCCAACCCCCAAGCAAAAAATAAAAAATAACCAGAAAGGCCCCGCTCTGACCCCGCCTGTTTCCCCTCTCTCCCACCCCCTGGTGTCACATCCTCCCGTGCGGAACCTTCCAACTGCCCCTTCTGCTCCACAGCAAGTAAGTTCCCTCCGGCAAGGCTGAGGGAGGGCGCGGAACCGCAAGACACTCAGGCCAGGAGGGGCCTCCATGCCCTCCTGACGCCCCTTGTGGCTCGTGCAGGTACATCTTTGAGTCAGTGGGCACCAAGCGCACCCTGACCATCAGCCAGTGCTCGCTGGCCGACGACGCGGCCTACCAGTGCGTGGTGGGTGGCGAGAAGTGCAGCACCGAGCTCTTCGTCAAAGGTAGGAGCGGACCCTGGGCCGGGGGGCGCACGCCTGTCATCCCAGCATCCCGGGAGGCTGAGGCAGGAGTATCCCAAGCTGGAGTCCAGCCTGGGCCACTCGGCACATGAGCATCTTACCGAGACCCTGTCTCAAAGGGGCTGGGGATTTAGCTCAGCGGCACAGCGCCTGCCTGGCGTGAGGTTGTGAGTTCGATTCTCGGTACCGGAAAAAAACAAACAAAACAAAACGAAAAAAAAGACCCCGTCGCAAAATTTAAAAAGTAAACAAAGAGGGTGGTGGGCGAGCACCCCTCCCCGGATGCAGGGAGGAGGACAGCGGCGGAGGAGTGGGCCTCAAGCTGTCCCCGCCGTGCAGAGCCCCCTGTGCTGGTCACGCGCGGCCTGGAAGACCAGCTGGTGATGGTGGGACAGCGCGTGGAGTTCGAGTGCGAGGTGTCGGAGGAGGGGGCACAGGTGAAATGGTGAGTCCCGGGGTGTGGCCCGGGGGCAGGGCGGGGACAGGACACTTGCAGGGGAGGCCACGGCGCTGGCTGCCGCCACCCCGCCAGGCTGAAGGACGGTGTGGAGCTGACCCGGGAGGAGACCTTCAAGTACCGCTTCAAGAAGGACGGGCGGCGGCACCACCTGATCGTCAACGAGGCGACGCTGGAGGACGCGGGGCACTACGCGCTGCGCACCAGCGGGGGCCAGACGCTGGCGGAGCTCATTGTGCAGGGTGAGGCCCGGGCCACCCCGGGGGGGAATCAGATGGCGCGAGGTGGCTCCCGCGCCCCACACCATCGCGGGCACACACGCATCGCACGCACACACCGGCCCTGAGCGCCCGCCGCCCGCAGAGAAGAAGCTGGAGGTGTACCAGAGCATCGCCGACCTGGCGGTGGGCGCCAGGGACCAGGCCGTGTTCAAGTGCGAGGTCTCCGACGAGAACGTGCGCGGCGTGTGGCTGAGGAACGGCACGGAGCTGGTGCCCGACAGCCGCATACAGGTGTCCCACATCGGCCGGTGAGCGCGGGGCGGCGGGCACGAGGGGCCGGGGGCGGGGGCGGGCAGAGGCGGGACAGACAAGACGGAGAGAGACGGAGGACAGCCGGCTGCGGAGACGCAGAGGCGGAGGGGCGGGGGTAAAGCCAGGCACTGGGGCGGGCGCCTGGCCCTCGCCCGCGGTGAATAGGCGTTGTGCTGCTGGGAGGCGGCGCTGGCCAGAGCTCTGCTGTCCCTCGGCTGCTTGTGCTGGAGCTCGCGCCGTGCTGCGGCCCAGTTCCCAGAGGCTCAGCCCCAGCCCCGCGTGCGAGGGCCCAGCCCAGGGACGCTGGTGTAGAAACCGCACCTACACTGCCTCCCTCGCTGGAACACGAGGCCACCGAGAAGGAAGGCACCGCATCTCTAAAACACCAGCGCCCCCGGGGCCAGGGCAGGCAGGGTCCCCCGGGAGCCCCCTGAGCCACCGTGGCCCTGCAGGGTCCACAAGCTGATCATCAACGACGTCACACCGGCCGACGAGGCCGACTACAGCTTCGTGCCCGAGGGCTTCGCCTGCAACCTGTCGGCCAAGCTGCACTTCATGGGTAAGCCGCGCTGCGGGGGGCCCTGCGGCTGGGCCTGGCCGCCCCGGTGCCACCCGCTCCCCTTCTCTTGCAGAGGTCAAGATCGACTTCGTGCCCAGACAGGGTGAGTCCCAGCCCGGGCAGGCACTTCCTGTTTCTGCCCCAGCCGTGTCCCCCAGTCCCGCACAGGGCGAAGGATGGGGGCGGTAGGGCCCAGCTGCGGCTTGGCCGTGGTGACTATAGGCTCTCTGGCCTCAGTTTCCTTATCTGTAAAGCGGGGTGCGGACAGCACCAACTCTACAGAGGTGATGGAGGTGAAATGGTCCGTGAGCATGTCAAGCAGTGTCCCGGATGTGAGGTTTTATGAATATACCTTTGGTTTCTGTTTTGTTTTGTTTGTGACACCATCTTGCTGTGCGGCCCAGGCTGCCTTGAACTCACTACAATCCTGCCTCAGCCTCCTGAGCGCTGGGCTCACAGGCGCGTGCCACTTTGCCGGCTTTGATAACAATGTTCTTCTTTTGGCGATGCCTGTCCTGTTTGAGATGAAACTTTAATCAGACACTGGAGAATTCTAACTCCTGGGCTACAGAGCGAGAACATGTCAAAACAAAACGAAGACAAACCTGTGTATTTTACCGTGTGGCAATCATGCCTCCATGAAACTGGTTTTGAAAAACCAACCAGCAGGGACTGTGCCCCCGGGCTCCTCGGCCCCGGGGACCCGCACTCTTCTGTGGTGCGCACGGGCCCGGTCCCTCTCCTTCCCCTGACCGGAGCCACCTGCCCCGCTGGCAGAGCCCCCCAAGATCCACCTGGACTGCCCGGGCCGCACACCAGACACCATCGTGGTGGTGGCAGGGAACAAGCTGCGGCTGGACGTCCCCATCTCCGGGGACCCCGCGCCCACCGTGATCTGGCAGAAGAGCCTCCCGCAGGTACCGGCTCCCCTCGACTTCCTGCTGCCTCCACCAGCACCGCCCAGCGCTGCCCACAGGGCCTCCCCGGATCAGGGGTCAGGCCGGCCTTTCCCCTCCCCTCCGCACTGTCTTTTTTTTGCGGGGGGGGGCTGTTTCCGGTACCGGGAATCAAACTCACAACCTTGCACCGCCAGGCAGGCGCTGTGCCACTGAGCTAAACCCCCAGCCCCTCTCCTCCGCACTGTCCCCAGGGGAAGAAGGCCGCGGCCGCACCAGCCCCCGGTGCCCCGGAGGACCCAGGTGCCGGCGACAGCGAGGAGTGGGTGTTTGAGAAGAAGGTGAGCCGCGCGGATTCCCGAAGGCTCCTTGTCTTCTCCCTTCCAGCCACGTCCCAGACCTGCCACCCTGAGATGGCCTTGACCCCGGGAACAGGTTTCCCTGGCGACACCTGCGGTCACCTGGGTCCCCCGCCCTCTGGCGGCAGAGCAGCCAGCCCACCAGAGTCCTGCTGGACCCTCACCATAGCTCTGTGGATCTCGCTATTCTCGTTCAACAGATAGGGAAACTGAGGCATAGGGAGGACAGGTGATGGCGCAGGTTCTGCGACAGCTGGAGCCAGCCCCTGCCTGGTGGCCTGCCCAGGCAGGAGCCACGTGAAGGCTTTCTAAAAAAAGTTTTTGAGACAGGGTCTATGTAGCCCAGGCTGGCCTTTGACTTTTGGGGATCCTCCTGCCTCAGCCTCCTGAGTGCTGGGGTACACTGTGAACTAGAAGCTTACATGGCCATGGCCCCCTCCTCCCCTTGCGTCTCAGGGCTGCTGGCTACTGCAGCGGCAGCAAGGGCCTCTGGGGCCGGGAGTGGGTCCTGTCCCCAACTCTGCCTCCGTTTCAGCTGCTGTGTGAGACCGAGGGCCGGGTCCGTGTGGAGACCACCAAAGACCGCAGCGTCTTCACTGTGGAGGGGGCAGAGAGGGAAGACGAGGGCGTCTACACCGTCACGGTGAAGAACCCTGTGGGCGAGGACCAGGTCAACCTCACAGTCAAGGTCATCGGTGAGGCCATCTGGGGTGCACAGTGGGGCAACCCAGGGAAGGCCCACACGTGTGCTCATTCAGTCACTCAACAAGCATCCAGGGCCATGGTATGAATGGGACAGGCTCTTCTACACACAGGTGCCCCACTGTAGGGAGAGAGAGGCCGAAAAGTCATTTCCTGGGGTGCCCGAGCGGAGGGAAGAGCTGCGGGAGCCGGGAGGGGCAGGGGCTCTGGGGTGCCGGCCCAGCAGGGCTGCTGTGTCCCCCCAGATGTGCCCGACGCCCCCGAGGCCCCCGAGATCAGCAACGTGGGCGAGGACTCCTGCACCGCGCAGTGGGCGCCGCCGGCCTTCGACGGCGGGCGGCCGGTGCTGGGTGAGTCCCGGGCGCGGGGGCGGCCGAGGGCGGCGGGCGTCCGAGGCGGCCCGGCCCGAGCTCCGCTGCCCGCCAGGCTACATCGTGGAGCGCAAGAAGAAGAGGAGCTTCCGCTGGATGCGCCTCAACTTCGACCTGCTGCGAGAGCCGCGGCTGGAGGCGCGGCGCATGATCGAGGGCGTGGCCTACGAGATGCGCGTCTACGCCGTCAACGCGGTGGGCGCGTCCCGGCCGAGCGCCCCCTCGCGGCCCTTCATGCCCATCGGTGAGCGAGGCCGCGCCCCCGACCCCGCTGCTCCTGACCCCGCCTGGCTTCTTCAGCCTGGTTTTCCCGTCAGCCGCTGCTGCTGGGTGGGGTGAGGCCAGGCAGGGCCTCCGTACACCGCAGACGCTCAGTGTGTGTTTTGCCTATTGCAGTACTGGGGATGGAACCCAAGGAGCTCCATCCTCAGTGCTTCTTTTTGTTTTTGTTTTACATTGTTGAGACAGTCTCCCTAAATTGTCCCAGCTGGGTGATCATCCCTGTCTCAGCTTCCCACGTGCTGAGATTACAGGGGCGCGCCTGGCTGGCTGGCTGGCTTGCTTGCTTTATCTTTTTGAGACAGGGGCTTGCTATGCAGTTCAGCCTGGCTTTGAGCTCACTTTGTAGCCCAGGCTGGTCTCGAACTCACAGTGATCCTCCTGCCTCAGCCTCTCGAATGCTAGGATTACAGGCTTGTGCCACCACACCCAGCCCGCCTGGCTTTACAGATAAATCTTTTCATGCAGCCAATTATTCCCTTTTGGTCTGGTTTTTGTTTTTGTTTTTGTTTTTTTTTTGAGACAGGGTCTATGTAGTTCAGGCTGACCTCGAACTCACTATGTAGCGCAGGCTGGCCTTGAACTCCCAGTGATCCTCCTGGCTCAGCTTCCCTAGAGCTGGGATGACAGGCGTGTGCCACCATGCCCGGTCCAGCCAAACTATTCATGGAGCGCTTGAAACGGGATATGGGTCCTGTCCTCCCTGTGCGGCCTGGGGTGTCCCGCTGGCGGGCTCCCTCAGACCCCCGCTGCTGCCCCTCCCAGGGCCCCCCGGCGAGCCCTCCCACCTGGCCGTGGAGGACGTCTCGGACACCACCGTCTCGCTCAAGTGGCGGCCCCCGGAGCGCGTGGGCGCGGGCGGCCTGGACGGCTACAGCGTGGAGTACTGCGCCGAGGGCTGTGAGTGCCACCGCGGTGGGCGAGGCAACCCGGGCCGGCCCTCTGGGCGCCCGCTGACGGCCCCGCCCCCCAGGCTCGGAGTGGGTGGCCGCCCTGCAGGGGCTGACGGAGCGCACCTCCCTGCTGGTGAAGGACCTGCCCACGGGCGCCCGGCTGCTCTTCCGCGTGCGCGCGCACAACGTGGCGGGCCCCGGGGCCCCCACCACCACCCAGGAGCTGGTGACAGTGCGGGAGATACTGCGTGAGCATCTCACCCCCCACCCCCGCGGCCCCGCCGGCAGCCGGGACAGCCTGGGGACCCTGGTTTGTCCATGCCAGTCCCCCAGTTTGGACACAGGAAAAACAGGTTGTGGCCTTCACGCTGTTCTCAGTCTCACAGCTCCATCAGGCAGGTCCTGTCCACGTCCTCAGGGGCAAGCAGAGGCCTCTTGGGGACAGAACTCCCTATCCACCTCCCATCCCTCTAGTCTTTGTCCCAACAAGGGATCGGACGTGTAAGGATCGGCTCTCCAGGTGGGTGCGCAGGGTACAGGGCATCGGGTCTGAAAGCCTAGATCACATGCTGGCCCGTGACTCACTGGCTGTGTGACCTCTCACAAGTTGCCTACCCTCTCTGATCCCTGCCTCTTGAATTTTGTGGTGAGGCTCCGGGGGGCCAGAACCTTTTGGAGCTGGGCAGTTGGAGTTGTGTGGGTGAGCAGGGCCAGGTCCTGTGTAAGGAGAGAAGGGAGCTGTGGTGTCCCTCAGGGCCGGGCACAGAAAGCCCCTGCTCAGCTGCCCACTCTGTCCCGCAGAGCGGCCGCGACTCCAGCTGCCCCGGCACCTGCGCCAGACCATCCAGCGGAAGGTCGGGGAGCCCGTGAACCTCCTCATTCCTTTCCAGGTAGGTGGCGTCCAGCCGGCGGGCGGAAGGACGTGTCACAGAGCAGGGCGTGGGGGGCTCAGGTCAGCGCCAGCCCTGGGGACAGCCAGGCTCGTCCGCGCCTCTAGGGGAAGCCCCGGCCTCAGGTGACCTGGACCAAAGAGGGGCAGCCCCTGCGGGACGAGGACGTGAGCATGCGCAACAGCCCCTCGGACAGCATCCTGTTCATCCGCGCCGCCCGCCGCGCGCACTCGGGCAGCTACCAGGTGACCGTGCGCGTCGAGAGCATGGAGGACTCGGCCGCGCTGCTGCTGCAGGTCGTGGGTGCGTGGCGCGGGGCGCGGGGAGGGGGCCCCCAAGGGCCGCGTCTGTTCCCGGCTCTCCCCCGGGGAAGGATGGGGATCCACCCGGCCCTGTCGCCCGCAGACAAGCCGAGTGCTCCCCAGGACCTCCGCGTCACGGAAACCTGGGGTTTCAACGTGGCCCTGGAGTGGAAGCCGCCCCAGGACGACGGCAACACCGAGCTCTGGGGCTACTCCGTGCAGAAAGCTGACAAGAAGACCATGGTGAGCCGGGCCATGTCCCCTCCCTCGTCCGCCCCGGAGTCCCCGCTGCCACCTCTGCGGGCCTGGCCCCCCAGCTGGGGCACAGAGGTAGCCGAGAGGCCCCTCTCCGCAGGAGTGGTTCACCGTGCTGGAGCACTACCGCCGCACCCACTGCGTGGTGCCCGAGCTCGTCATCGGCAACGGCTACTACTTCCGGGTCTTCAGCCATAACATGGTGGGGCCCAGTGACAGAGCCGCCACCACCAAGGAGCCCGTCTTTATCCCCAGGCCAGGTGCCCGACCCTCACTCCCACCCCAGGGAGCTGGCGCGGTGACAGAGGCGAGTTTGGGGCGGCCCCTTGCTACCAAGTGCTGTCGCCCACAGGCATCGCCTACGAGCCACCTAAGTACAAGGCCCTGGACTTCTCCGAGGCCCCAAGCTTCACCCAGCCCCTGGCAAACCGCTCGGTCATCGCGGGCTACACCACCGTCCTCTGCTGCGCCGTCCGGGGCAGCCCCAAGGTAGGAACTTCCGCCCCTGGTCCCCTCCCCAGCGGTCCCCTCCGCCTTTGCTCCTGACCGGGCCTGGGCACTCCTCACTGGCCTTGTGCAGGCCAGCCTTGGGCAGCCAAGCAGACACAAATGCCACCGTCCCTGGGTTCGTGCCGGGTGCCTCTGCCCTGAGGCGCCTCCCCGCCCCTTTTCCTGGTCCACAGCCCAAGATTTCCTGGTTCAAGAACGGCCTGGACCTGGGGGAAGATGCCCGCTTCCGCATGTTCAGCAAGCAGGGCGTGCTGACCCTGGAGATTAGAAAGCCCTGCCCCTTCGACGGGGGCATCTACGTCTGCAGGGCCACCAACCTGCAGGGCGAGGCGCAGTGTGAGTGCCGCCTGGAGGTGCGAGGTGAGGAGCCCGCCGGGCTGCGCTCTGCCAGCCTGGTGTCCAGTGGCGCTGGCTTCTGGGACGGGGACCAGAACACACATGCCGTGGATTCTTTCTCCCGCAGTGCCGCAGTGACCAGGCTGATGCCCCGGCTGGCCCAGTGCGTACTTCAGTCCCTGCTCAGCCCCTGGGGTTCCAGGACACCCCGGTTCACTCACAAGGACGCCTGTGTCCCAGGTCCAGGCGGATGCCAGTCTGCGTTCCCAAAGCCTGGAGGGAACCTGGAGGGGCCTCCTTCCTGCCACCTGATGCGTGTCCTGGGGTCGGACCTGAGCACAACACGGCACCGCAGGCGGCTGGGGCTCTGCACAGAGGGGCCTGTCACAGCTGCCTGCGTGGGCCTAGGGATGGGGGAGGGGGGACAGGCTACTCCGGCCACGGAGCTCAGTGTCTGGGGCAATAAAAGAGCCGTGCACAGAGGACAGACTTTTCTCCGCGTACCTGTTTCACAGAGAGATAGGAGGGCTGTGCTAGCCCTCAGCAAGGACTCTGCCTCCCAGAGGATCCGGGAGGCTCAGGGAGGACCCTGACTTTGCTAAGCATCCCCGCTAGCAAGGCCCAGTCCCCCGCGCTCACTTTCCAGACGGGACTGTGGAGCTGCAATGCTGCCAGACCCCAGGCTGCTGCTCGCCCCCCCGCCCCGGGCCCAGGGGCTCGGCCTGGCCAGGGCCGCAGTGACCCAGGCTCACAGCGCCCGGGCTGGGGCAGTGTGGGGTCTAGCACAGTTCTCAGGGGCCGCACTAGATGCTTGGGGTCACAGCGAACGACCCCCAGTGCATCTCACAGGAGCGTGCAATGCTGTCCAGCTGGACCCGGAACCAGGACAGTGTGAGGTTCAGGAGCCCCGGCCAGACTGTCATGTCCTCCTGGTCTCACAGCAGCCTGACTAGTGGGTCCATGGCCCACGGAGTCTGGGTTTTTCCTAGGGCACAGAAATCCAGGAAGCCTGCTGCCTGGAGCTCTGCTCGGCATCCAGACACTGAGGCTGGAACTCAGGGCTCCAGGCCTGTGGGAGACCTGGCCACCTCACAACACTTCTTGGAATCATAAAGGGAACAGGTGGCCCAGTCACCGTAAATTAACCACCTGCTCAGATGTCAAGGCCCAGCTCAGGGGCTCCCTCTAGCGGTGAGCTTGAAGTAGCCAGCCTCGGGGTGGCCCGGAACCCAAAACAGAGGCAGAGGGAGGTGGGTACTGGGCCCAGCTTGCAGGAGCCTGGATGGGGACAAGCCTGCCTCCGTCTCCTTCCTTCAAGCCTGAGCAGCACTTTTAGGCCTGGGCGGAGGAGGTGCAGCTTAACACAAGGCAGCCAGGGAGCTCAAGGGGAATTAAGGACATTTATTTCACATTCACGCAGCTGTACATTTTCTATAAATAACGTGGAGCTGAAATATTTACAATCATCTCCCCCAGGCCACCTCCAGGTGCCAGGAGACCTGGCCTCAGACAGGCCTGTCCCACCCCTCCCTGGTTCCCAGGCAGAGCAGCCAGGGGTCCCCAGGACTCCAGCGCCCCTGGAGTCCTCCGGCCCATCGTGCGGCCGGCCAAGCAGGCCACAGGGAAACTGCGCTCCAGCCGCAGTGACAGCAAGCTGGGGCCACGCAGAGGAGCAGGGAGGTCCCCTCTGCCAGCTGCCCGGCCTGGCTTTCCAGTGCCCAGCCCGCACCCCCAGGAACTGCCCCGGTGCCGTTATGCCAGGTCACAGAGGACGGAGACCAGGTTCTTGCGCCACGGGGTCATGAGGCCAAGGCCAAGAACCACACAGTGTCAGAGGACACTCGCTGGGGAACTCCCGCCAGCCCCACATTCACACACCGCCTCGAGCCCCGGCCCGGGGGACAGCAGTCTGACCCTCTAGGGGTGCAGAGAGGGAAGGGGAAGCGACCACCGCAGCCTGACAGACAAACGCACGGACACGCTCAGAGCCACAAGCGGGAGCCAGCTAAGCCACAGGGGGGCTCGCAGAAGACGCGCGCCATCCGCTTGGTGCATCGGGAGCGGCGGGTGGGGGGGCGTCCCCGGGCCGGACGGCGGCCTGGGCCTCCCGTCAGCTTGAGACGGGCCGGGGTGGTGTCCGCAGGTCCTCTTCGCTGCTACGGACGGCGGCCACGTATGAGAAGAGACACAGCACAGAGTAGCAGATCTCGTGGGCCTAGAGAGGAGGGGACAGATGAGGCGCCTGGGGTCCTGGCCCTCACGGGGAGGCCCTAACGGCATGGCCTGGGGTGATGGAGCCTCAGGCCATCCATAAGGGAGAGGGTCCGTAAGGCGTCTCTCCCGAGGTGGAAGACGCGCTTTGGCTTCAGCTCAACCTCTGCTCTAGGCCAGTCCCCTCAGGGGCCACCCTCCACCTTCTGTAGGTCCCCAGGGAGCCCTGCGCAGCCAGGGCTGGGCGGCACACTCACCATTGGTGTCTTGTACTTGTGGCTCACCACTTCTTTAATTTCAGGAACTAAAACCGGACGGGCAAGAGACAAAACAGAAAGTTCAAAACTAAGAGCAACGGTGCCATGATCCCCCAGGCGGCAGCGCCCGGCACAGGGTCCCCTTCCTGCTGCAGCCTTCCCAGTGGCTGCAGCCACTTCGGCTGTGACAGGACAGAGGGCACCGGAGGCTTCTGTCAAGCAGAGTCAGCTAGCCCTGCGAAGCCTGCAGAGCGCTCTGCCCGATGGCTGGGGTTCTACCGCTTCCACAGAGGCCAGGGAGGGAGGCCCGGCCTTTCCGCAGCCTGGTCACCGCCACCGTCCGGGACCCCTGAGGTGTAGCAGCGGCCGTGACAGTGGTTTCTAGCCTGTGCCTCACCTTGCTGAGCCGCCCGGGAGCTCAGCCATGTCACCAGCCCACAAGCCTGGCTGTGGGACCCGAAGTTCCCTTTCCTCCCAGCCCCTACAGAGGCCTGAGGCGGCCGAGGGAGCCACAGGGCAATAAGCCTATGGCCTGGGCCGCATCCTTCCCTGAGCGAGCGGCAGGAGCAGCCCGCGCCTGGCTGTGTGAGGGAGAGCGTCAGAGGGCTCCGAGCAGACACACCAAGCAGGACACAGGCGAGGACAGCACCCGGGGAGGGGCCGGGGAGCGCCAGCGAGTCCACACATGTCCACAGCCCAGAGAGCAAGCCCGGGAGCCGCCCTGTCCCGCCATGCAGGGGCGCTGCGTGGCCAGACGAAGGAGTGGGGCCCTCCAGGCCCAGCCACTGGTGTGGCCCTGAGACAGGGAGAGGGGTGTGACGTCCCCCGGCGAGGGGGACAGAAAGGGAGGACGAGAAGTGGCCACACCTTCTTCTGACCCTGGGAGGCAGAATGGGGGACCTAGGTTAGCAGGGAGAGGCCTGGCGCCCTGTCCTGAGCTGGAAGAGCCCCAGTGGCCCCGCAGGAGAGAGGAGGGCGCACCCTGGGGACAGAGCTGGGACCGGGGAGCCAGCAGGAGGGTGGGGAGAGAGGAGGAGACACTGGCAGTGTGAGCGAGCGCGGCTGGTGGGGGCCCCACCCTGGCGGGGCCTGGGGAGGGAGCAGGAGCCGGAGTCATGTTACCTGCTGGAGAACGAAGGTTTTCATAGCAGCGACGAGGGCGCGAGAGAACGAAGCACAGACACAGCAGCCACCCCAAGCCCGGGCGAGGACCCCCCTCCCAGCGCCGCCGCCAGCGCCAGGGAGCCTGGCTCAGCCCCTCTGCCTGCAGCCCCGGCTTCCCGGCCCTCGTCTGCCTGCCCGCAATGCCCACACCCCCTCCGGCACAGGCCAGGCAGGGACAGAGCAGTGCCGGGGTGGGGGGCTGGGGCTGCTACAGCTGGCCGCAGGCGAGCCCGACGCAGCAGGGCTCAGGACCCGGCAGCGACCCCGCCCGCCCCAGCCTGTCTGAGCCTGTGCTGCCCGCCTGCCCGGCTCAGCCTCGCCTGGGCCGGCTCCGGCCGCTCAGCCCAGGAGGCCGTGCGCCTGCGTCCCCGCGGGGCTGTCTGCCCGCCTCCTTCCCTGCTTCTCCCACTCCCTGCCACTCCTGCGCCTCCTGGCCTCTCTGCGGCTCTTCTTCGCCCTGCCTCTAACCCTCCTCTGGAGCTCCAAGGTTTGAGTTACTGCCATGTGAGTCCAGACCTAAGAGCAAAATAGTGTAATTACCAAATTCCTCCAGGACAAAGACGCCTCGAACTGTATTGCACTTTTTAATGTGATTCAGCTCTATGAAAACCTGCAAGAGAGGGAGGGAGGCCAGGTAAGGCCGCGAGCCCCGCCCCTGGCCCGCGGAGCCCCTCTCCCGCCACGGCCCCACCCGGCACAGGAAGCCTAGCTCGGGGGGCACGCAGGATCCACACACACACAACCAAAAGCGCTAGGAAGCGAAGACAGCAGAAAGGGCATGTACCTTCCGCTCCTGGCCGGAGGAGAAAGCATGGGAGAGAAATGAAGGCGTTAGTTGGGATGGCCAAACCCGCCCGCAGGCCCCTCCGCCGGCCTGGGCTGCCTGCCGCTCCCTCTGCCCAGCGCAGCGCTCGTAGGGCACAGCGCCGGGCCCCCGGTGACCGGCCCCTCAGTGTCGCCCTTCCATACATCCTCCTCCGGCGCAGAGGGCTGGCACAGTGCAAAGCTCCCTCACTGTCCCGGGGGGCGGCGCTGGCATCGTCCCGGACACAGGCCCCCTCCACCCCCCAGCGCGCGGGGGCACAGCGGCAGTCCCTGCGGAGCGCTACGCCCCGCGCCCGCGCCCGGGCTGCGGCGGCCGAGCGCTGCCCCACCGTGAGGACGGGAACAGGACTAGAACGCGTATTTGCCCGTAAATAACGAAGCCGAGCTTCAAACGGGGGCAGATCCTGACTCGTTTGCGCTTCCCCATTTGTTATCGCTGACTGCTCAGCTCCGCCAGGAGGGCCCCGCGGCCTGTGGGCAGACGGAAGTCGGCCTCGGCCTGCTCTCGGGGGGCTGCCTCTTCTAGGGCCCGCCTCCGCCAGGTGTGGGGCCGAGCCGGCCGCCCGAGGGCAGGGCAGGAGGGCAGGGCAGGGGCTGGCAGCGGCCGGGGCGGAGCAAGGGCTGTGGTCGCGGGGGAGGCCGCAGTGCGCCAACGAGGCGGGAAGCTCCTCCTCAGGAAGGCCAGACCTCTGCGGCCCAGCACAGCGGCCAGGGGACCCCTCCTCGGGCCGCCCTAGGTGTGCGGGGCCTGCTGCGCCCGAGGCCCTGGACTAGAAGCACTAAGCACCCCCCGCGACACCGAAGCCGGCCGGCGCACGCTGACGGGGCTAAGCGGGCGAGCGAGGGAGGAGGCCGGGCAGTCGGGGTGGCGGGCGGCCCGGCGGGGCGGGGGCGCCCCCTGGGGGCAGGCTCGGCCACGGGAGGGGAGAAAGGCACTTGTGTGAAGAGGCAGAGCCGCGAACGGACCTGGGAAGACGCGCTGGCCTCAGAGGGCGCCAGCTTAAAGAATGTCCACTGAGAGGAAAAGCAA